TACTTGGTGACTATTAAATACATTTTATTTGTAAACAAAGCTTATATATTGGTTCACTTGGTATACTTGGTGACTATTATATACATTTTATTTGTAAACAAAGCTATATTGGTTCACTTGGTATACTTGGTGACTATTAAATACATTTTATTTGTAAACAAAGCTATGTTGGTTCACTTGGTATACTTGGTGACTATTAAATACAATTTATTTGTAAACAAAGCTATATTGGTTCGCTTGGTATACTTGGTGACTATTAAATACACTTTATTTGTAAACAAAGCTATATTGGTTCGCTTGGTATACTTGGTGACTATTAAATACATTTTATTTGTAAACAAAGCAATATTGGTTCACTTGGTATACTTGGTAACTATTAAATACATTTTATTTGTAAACAAAGCTATGTTGGTTCACTTGGTATACTTGGTGACTATTAAATACATTTTATCTGTAAACAAAGCTATATTGGTTCACTTGGTATAATTGGTGACTATTAAATACAATTTATTTGTAAACAAAGCTATATTGGTTCACTTGGTATACTTGGTGACTATTAAATACACTTTATTTGTAAACAAAGCTATATTGGTTCACTTGGTATACTTGGTGACTATTAAATACACTTNTCCATATAATCATTTAATAAAAAAACTAAATGTCTGCAACATTCCATTAACAGAAAGTGAAGAATACGACATTTGATGAATTCTTTCGATATATTCATTATTAAGGGTTTCACTATATAGAATATATTTATATAGAAATTAGAAGTCAATTTTATAAAAAGCTGTGAAGAAAATAATTATTTAAAACGCATGAAACATACGTTGAGTTTTGAAAAGCAATTTTCCCATCAATTCAAAAAATTGAAAATGAGGAAAGGATTTAAATTTTAACGTTTTGTTTCATTCGATTTCTTGGATAAAGGTTAAGCCTGGATTAAGAAAGACATGTGTCCAATTCACAATGATACCCTTACATTAATTGATTAATATGTACCTTTTGGCTTTGATAAACCTGATATGCTATGGTAAGATCATTTTACTTTATAAACTTCAAATAAAAAATGCAACCTGCCTCCTTTTCTTGGTCCGTCACATTGTGATACAAACGAATTCTCCAGCGGGGATAGAACAGCTGAAAGAAAATTTATAGATATCTCCGTCAATCTTGAAGGTGAATAAAAGGTAGTCTAAATTTTTTAGTAGTGTTCGGTGTTAAATGTTAAATATTTTAACTGTGTTACTACAAAATCAAATGTACGAAATAATTCCGCTTTGAACAAAGACAAAATAGAAGTCGTCATTAAATTCCCATATTAATTAAAAGCTGAATATGTAATAATGTAACATCACTTTTGCGAATTTTAGAAACATACAGAAACTGACTGAATTTATATCTTTGATTCTACAATTTTGTGTATTAACAACCCAGTCTCGTCTCGCCATTTGTTTACATAACTTTTCAAAGTTGATAATCAAAGATATTTAATGATATTCAATGATATCTAACGATATTTCACGATATTAAAGGGAGTGCTCGCGAAAAACGGAAGGGGGTATAAGCTTACAGCGAAAAATATTCGATGGTGATTGCTGCTCTATCTCTGTTGCGTCTATCAGAAGAAAATTGTTGAAAACGATTCTTACCGAAGGTTGCATCCCTACAAATTCAGAAAGTTGCAATATTCGACATCTAGCTAATTCCAAACAAACAAATCGTTCAGATATTACAACCTATAATCATAGATTTTCTTCGAAGCATTCATATAAAGTTGATATTTTAAAATAGTATTTTTTTTAATTAATTGATCGCTTTTATCTTATTCTTATTTCACGGCTGGCGCTGGATTTTGGAACATTTATAGAAAATGTGAAAATGTCGTCATCATTATCAAAATCCTCGAAACAAGAATGAATGTTTTCAAAAGTAACTCCAGATCATAAAATAAAAAATATTATGAAATATCAACCACATAAGAATGCCTCGAAATATTTGAATGATTCGTTTGGAATAAAATTTTTTTACGATTCGAGTCGAATATTGCAAGTTTCTGAATTTGTATGGACGCTACATTCTTCGGCCGGTATGCGTCGTTTTTAACATTTTTCTCCTTATAGACGCAACAGATAGAAGTAAGATTAGGAGCAATAGTCGAAAAATTTTCAATAAAAAATAATGGCTTATTTGGCAGCCATCAAACTATTGCTGCCAAATAAGTGATTTTTGTAAAATATAAGATAATTTTTCTATTTTGTAATTGATGGTGTATAGTGTTGTATATCATAAAAGTAAGATAGGGATAAATATTTTGGACTGAAATTAACAACTCATACCAATGATATTTCGAGAATACGGGATTATAATTTATTAACATATATATATACAAACGAATACTATACGATCAAATAGCAATTGAAGCAAGAATCAAAGTAGAATGAACACAGCTTTATCCCACTCCCACTGCTCTCTGAAAGGGTTGATCATCAACTAACTGCTACCCAGGGTATCAGTTGAGTTGCCGGGCTCAGCTCGGAATTCCCGGCTTTATCAAAACTCCCTGGGTCAATATCCATTCTACCTGTGTGCTAGCCACCCAAAACTAGTAGCATCAGGTAGAAGAATCGGGTTCTTGGCTTCGCATTATTCTATTAATAGTTCTGAACTTAGCGTCGTTCTATTAATAGATGATATTTACAGACAGGGTTTTTATTTTCTCCCTGAGCAGATGATCGCTAAAAGATCAAAAGATCGTACCTTCATTACAATAGAAAGAAAACATATTTGTTAGGTTTTTGTTGAATTTAATAAGCTATACCTTTGCATGTTGAATTTAATGAACTATACTATGAACGAGTTTAAAATTACAAATTGATGATCATATTAACAGTACAAGTATAAAGAAATTAGGTGGAAAATAGCTCTTGGCTGTTTTGATTATTTTTTCCACCAAATTTTCATAATAATAACAAAACATTTCAATTAAATAGATTTAAGGAGAACGATTAGAGATCAGGGTGCGAATTTATCTTATGCAAATAGTTTATACATTAATTCGAATAACTAGAGTTTAAAGTAATCTTCTGACATGTACACAACAAATATCAAAGCATATTAAAACATATCTAATTAGTTTTACATGAATAGCAATTCGGTTTATAACACATTGTCATGTAATTTTCAAAAAGAGAATTTAGTAGTCTATTTTTAAATGTTGAATTATGTTAGACATGAGTTGACTAGAATGAACTACACCTTTGCATGTTGAATTATGTTAGACATGAGTTGACCATAATAAACTATACCTTTGCATGTTGAATTATGTTAGACATGAGTTGACCATAATAAACTATACCTTTGCATGTTGAATTATGTTAGCCATGAGTTGACTATAACGTAATATTGAAGCCTCTGGTTCTCTGAAATATATACATCCTTGTATCTAAAGTTGTAGTCTCTGTTTTGGTGTCTGTTTGTTTGTACGATCATAACTCAGGAACCCCTTTACCGATATACTTCAAATTATGATTGGGGAATTTGGGAGAACCACGTAAATTTTTATAACTCGGTTTTGAGATTGTAAATTGAGTGGTTCGACTTTTAAAGCGAAAATTTAGTTTCCCGGTAAAATCGACCAAGTGCGGGTAAGCGGAGGGATTAACTTTGAGTATTCTAGGCAGCGCTGATTTCCCAAGCACACATACAAACAGAAAACAGTTGAATGATTGTCGTCTTCTATTTTAAGAGCTGTTTTATTGTAAACAAACAAAACATGTTGTCAAACCGCGAGCATTGTTTAGTATTTTTAGTATTAAAAAGAAATCTATAGTACCGATTCACAACAGTACCCTTATAAACTGTTACTTGGCTAGAATGAATTTTAAATACCAAAGTTCATATGTAATTATGAAAACTGCAGTTTCTGCACAAAAGTGACTTGCGCATTTCTACTGGAGAAAAATATGTAGAAATGATCGAAATTAAGCCCTTTATAAACTAGATAAATGACATTATCTTTGGCATTAATGATCATATATGAAGGTTTCATGGGTATCGTTGTGAATCGAGCATTGCTATCTTTATAGGGATGTTCACTCTAAATTACGCTTACAGTCCCTTTGTTCTCAGGCATATGGCAAAATCATTTAGGAAAATAAGGGTGTAAAATACTTACAGAGGTTTGCCCTGTTTAGATGTAGGTGGGGTGTAGAACGAGTAAGATAACACTTGTTGACCAGCACCAAGAGCTAAAAGAAAACGATAAAAACATGATCAATAATTTTAAAAATTCATTAATTAAAAAAAATAAACACAGTCGTCTTCCAATTTTACAGTCGTCTTCCTTTTTCACAGTCGTCTTTCTATTTCACAGTCGTCTTTCTATTTCACAGTCGTCTTCCTATTCACAATTTTTCTTGTCTCACTGTATCTAAACATTGAACTGTACCCATGCATTACAAAATACCCATACATTGCACTGTAACCATGCATTGCATTTACAACAGTTATTTTAAAGGGACTACAATCATAATGTCAAGTCAAGGGGCAATGTCCATGCAAACCCAGGGCAATGCCCCTTGAAATCTTTATTTGTTCAATTATATGTGTCTCTTTGTTTCTTTTTATAATTAAATCTAAATATTTTACTGTCGTAGGAATGCCCAGGTCACTTTAATAGAAAAATCACATTTGAAAATGATCAGTTTTCAAGATATTAACATTGATATTTAATCAACTTTTGATCAGACCAAGCTTTTAAAGGTACCTTTATGAATCGGAATCTTTGCAAAAAGGGTCACTCGAAATTACGCTTGCAATCCCTTTAACAAAACCAAAAGGTTTGAATTATCATATTATCCTATTATTTAAACCTGTTGTGTACTGGTTTGAATTATCATATTATCCTACTATTTAAACCTGTTATAGTATACTGGTTTGAATTATCATATTATTCTATTATTTAAACCTGTAGTGTACTGGTTTCATGTAGATTTTCCAACGTATTCACCATCAGTTATCTACAAGGGACATCTTGAGATCATGAATGCCAAAAAAAGAAAGGAAAATTTGTTTTGTCAAGAGCTTTAGTAGTAGCATTTAAAAAACTAGAATATAACTTCATGTTTAATATTAGCCTTAAAAGGACAGACCGGCTATGTAAGGTAGTTAAACTGAGTATGCAGTGTTGTGGACAAATTCTTTAGGATTCATTTATTATTAAATAACGACGACAAAAAATTTGAACAAAATTCTATAGTAAACAAATTTGTTGTTTAGGAACAGGTTAAGAAAGTAAACATTTATCTTATCATCGAAAATAAGAAATCATATTCAATTATTAGTTTCTATAAAATTCTCTTTATTTTCTGTAGAGTTTCTGGAATTCTTATTGAAAAGACGACATTTGAAGAATTTGTTGAAATCTGCGAATAAATTCAAAGAAAATAAGAAATTCAATATATATAATGATGAAAACGAAATAATTGATTCTAGCATTGATTTATTGACTAATTTCACTTGAAACATACGCTCCTAATCATCCAATTAGTTTACTGTATAATTTTTATTTTATTTTCCGTCGTCGTTATTTTATAAAAAAAACAAGCCACATTTCAAAATTGATGCCCTTTTGAATTTTTGATAATAAGATGCCCTGTTTCCTTTTCAAAATTAATATCTTCAGGTTTAAGTGACCCATTAAGATATTTCAAAGATCGTGCTATTCTGAAAATATATGTTTCCATTAGTTTTTGAGAAAATGGATTTCAATTTATTTTAACCAATTACCTAGGTTTACAGGGACATGATGAATCTACTTTATATTCATCCATCTGAGCAAAAAATCTTTCTAAACAAAAAAATATTTTTAAAAACTCATCTTCCTTCCATATCCCATCTAACCAACTTTGTATTGTCCTGGTTGGTTTCCAGTCGGGACAATAAAATTAATTGTAAATCTTGGACCACCTTTTTGTCCAGGCTGGCTACTTTTTTTCTGGTTCAACCTAGCATTACCATTTAGATAGGATTCTTGATAAATTGTCTTTAAAAGGGGAAAGTTCCTAGAGCCTTGCAGTTGCAACCAACTACGATTTTCAAGTTTTTATTGTTTTGCAACCTTAGATCGCAAGCCTTTAATGTTTCAAACTCGAACTCTGCCAGATCTGATAACGAAAGTTTAAATACCAAAGATTACAACATCAGGTTGCAAAAAATTAGAAAATTAGAGTTTGTACGAGTGTTTTTATTTTTTATATTCAAAACATATAAATATGGCAATATCACATTCGATAATCGTTCAACTAGGGGAATGGTTTAACTCTTGGTTTAACTGTTGGTTTAACCGCTGGTTTAACTCCTGGTTTAACCCCAAATTAAGAATGATTAACCTGCAACATTGTAGCTGAGACCGATACTACTGTAGGACATTAAAACCAACACAATCTGAACATTAATTTAGAGTTTTTAATAAATAGTTGTCATTGAGCAACAAAAAACGTTTCCAAAAACTGCAAACATTTTCAAACAAAGGAAATAAGTTTTGCCACAAACGCAAATTTTATTGTCACTGTAACTTCGCAATCTGATGGCGTAAACCATTAATATTTCAAACTTAGACTTTTATATTTAACATAGTTCATAGTTTGAAATATCAAAGGTCTACGACACAGGATTGCAAAGATATAGGTATTACAAAACCTGAGTTTGCTGCAAAAATCTCCTTTTGATCAAATTATCAATTTGCTTACCAAAGCTATTAGTGTAACAACCAATGCTCGTCTGGCTCTGTCTTTCATTTTAAAAATCTTAAATGACGAAACACGTATTGTAGCTTTATGCTTCACATGGGCATCTCAAATTGAAGTCATCACTCAATTCTTATGTTTATTGGGAAACACTGTATGTTATAAACCACAATGTAATTAATTGTACATGGCAACTAGTGATGGTAATTACAAGTAACCACTTGTTTTTCTTCAGGTCACTGAAAAATATATTTTGTCAATTTCTCCCTCTAATCTTAAACTAAAGATTAAAGCGCGGTAGTTTGTAAATGATTCGCCAGGGTTCCACATTTTTTAAGGAGACTTCTGAGATCATACTTTTCTTAAACAGATTTTCTACACTGTCAGATTTTGACACTTTTTTAAATTACTTCACTTTTGTTTTTGACATAAACATAAATTGTCTTGCTGTAGGAGCTGTAGTGAAGAGTAGAATTTGATTGCATGACTGGCCTGAAAGTATCCTTGGAATAAATTTATTAAAACATTATATCAATTTATATACAGTGAAACACTTAATAACGAATACATCGGAAGAATTTATCAAATGTAGTCTTGACAATTTTTCAATGAGTTTCATACTATATTTCGTAAATTTCAGTATTTGCTAGGGTTTCCATTTTCCGGAAAAAAATTTCCATTTTGCAAATGGAATGATCCGGAAATTTGTTGCGTAAACCGGAATTCCGGGATAATTCCGGATCAAATGGAAACCGGAATGTTTAAGGTAACCGGAAATTTTTCCGGTTTACGGAATGGAAACCGTAAAATTTCCAGTTTCCATTTCGTAAACCGGAAATTTTAACACAATATTAGACATAGAAAGCAATGTTAAA